TACAAATAAAGTACTGTCCATGGCCCAAAAATTCCCAGACAGATAGGAAGTTGATAATGAAGTTCTTCTGGGTTTTGGAACCATGGAAACTTCTAGATAGATACCAATGTTTCAGAGAAACATTCTTTCCACTGCTGTCATCATCTATGTAGTATTTTGCATGTCCTTTCTCAAGAATACTCTCATATTATATGTGTAGCCAGTCATGACACAAAGTTTGTAAATCATTATAACAAATCACTTCTTTCTTAAGAATGTAGTGCTTAAAAATACCAATCACTTTAAACAGCATAATGACTTTTTCTACAGGTAATGTTGAGATGGACTGCAGAATTTTAGCACAGGTGTCACTGAGCATATGAGACAGATTTTTCCTAGTCTGTCAAAGCTCTTTTCACTCTTATCTAGATGATTCCTACAGTTGCATAAATGTAGAACTCTCAAAATATAAAAATTAAGAGCATTTCATCATGTTACTGTCAAATGGCACATACAAAGAACTGTTCCAAGAATAGACCAATAATCTTTTAATCTGCCCTACTTGACTTGTCTCATTTGTACGATAGAAGCCAAAAATACAAACATCTACAGTACAGTTACAGCAGGCAGTCATAAGCTTCTGTCATCACTATCAAGTGTGTCAAAATATTGGCTCTTGTATTTATTATTAGTCTCTGCCACCATCAGTTGGATCACATCCTAGAAGAAGAAAAAGTAGACTGTAACCGGTTAAAAGTTCTTGATCACATGGGATGTCTCCTGAGGCTGCAGTGCAGTGACAGCCCCTATGAAAGAATGGACACTTAGATTTCTGCAAATGCTGTGGTTTTGACGAAATGTTACCTCCACAGTATGTTCATCAAGCAACACAGCTTCATCGGAGTCAGTCTCCAAAATTAATCTGTTCAATTTTTATTCTCTTCCTAAAAAAAGTAAGCCATTAAAAAACAAAAAAACTTTAATGATAGAAATGCAGTTTTTACAACTTCCCACTAGCATAACTAGAATATGAATGTGAGATTTGAGGTTTTCACGGTGCTGAAAATGATCATCTTTTGGGTTCTGGTGCTTACCATCTCCATCTTCAGGGATGATGTCAGATTCTGGGTCTACCAACCTATAAATACATTCAATGCCTCATCCCCTCACAGTAAACTACAAAGACTATACATAGCCAAGTACAAACATATGATGTAGGTTACCCAAATTGTTTAATAGTGAAGTGGTACACCACCCAAATTGTAAGCAGCAGATGCAGCACCCACACCGCTCAACCCTTCACTGCATCTTTTTACTTATTCCACATATTGTTGTCATCTAACTTATGGATCCATGGAATGTAATAAATATGTATGTATATGACATAAACTAGTATTCAAACTTTTGAGACTACTTTTGTCTATCCCCCTTCCTAAATTCACTAATCCCCTCCCTTCCAAACCCCCTGCAAAGTACAGGCTCGAGTGAAGTACTATCTATTCACCATCTTTCAGCATTCATTCTGAGTGGCATTTTGATGCTGCTGTCTTGACCCTGAATATGTGACCACATGACTGAAACCTTTATATGGTCAATAATGATATGTAACTCACAGCTAGAAAGCATATTGTATAAGCAGTGAATAAAATTAATGTCATGACTGCTATAAAATGACTAAATAAAGGCCTACTTTAGACATATGCTAGGTAAATGAAAAGTTTAGATGAAATATGCCTTAACAGTGGGATGCATGGATGATAAATTGTTAATGAAATGTCTATAAGATAAAGTTAGTGTCATGATTATTTAAGCCCCACACCATATATGCCATAAAGACATATATAGTGCATTGTTAACTTCAATATTATCTGAATTTGGCCAATTACCCATAACACCCAATGGATAGGGAGAAAAAAAGAAGAAAAAACTCCCAGCCCCTGCCAAGAATCAAACTGTGGTCACCCAGTCTGTAGCCAGCCACTGTACTGACCGAGCAGTCCCAGATCATGAAATCTGATATCCTCATTGTTTACTGTTTACGGCATGTAATAACTACCTCCATAAAGCTAAGTCTTTATCCAGATGTCATGGGATTAATCCCTGGAGATCCCAAAGCTAGAATTTTTCAGCCACAAGTAGTATAAAATTTCAAAATGATTTATTTAAATTTTTGTCATAATAATGAATATTATTTCATAGCAGAGCTCATTTCTAAGAACCTGAAAATTAAAGTATACAAAACAATAATCTTGCCTGTTGTTTTGTATGGGTGCGAAACATGGTCTCTCACTCAGAGGGAGGAACACAGATTGCAGGTGTTTGAGAATCGGGTGTTGAGGAGGATATTTGGGCCTAAGAGGGAAGACGATGGGGCGTGGAGAAAACTGCACAATGACTAGCTTAAAATCTGTACTGCTCCCCCAGTATTGTGAGGGTGATTAAGTCGAGAAGAGTGAGATGGTCTGGGCATGTAGCGCGCATGGATGGGACAAGAGGTGTGCACCGGGTATTGGTTGGGAAGCCTGAGGAGAAGATACCTCTGGGGAGACCTAGACGTAGATGGGAGGATAATCTCAGGCGGGATCTATGGGAGATAGGAGTTGAAGGAAACTGGATTTTGTTGGCCCAGGACAGGGTCCGGTGGAGGGCTTTGGTTAATTCGGTGATGAACCTTCGGGTTCGGTAAGCCATCTAGTTAGTTAGTTAGTTAGCAGAGCTCATACGACAGAACAGAATAAGAGAAAAACTGGCACCTTACTTACTGCATTAAAACCACACCATTATCATAATTTCTCCACTCACAACTAAAGTTTATGATTTCCAGAGGAAAATAATACTTTTACAGTACAAGACCATATAAACAAATGAGGAGCCAATAGCCACACAAATAAAGAGCAGAAAATGGAGGTGGATTGGACATACCCTGCGGAAGGACCAAAACGCTGTCGTAAAGCAAGCACTCTCCTGGAATCCCCAGGGACAGAGGAAGAGGGGAAGGCCAAAAACAACCTGGAGGAGAACCATTGAAGAGGAGGCAAAGAAGGAAGGAAAGACCTGGAGGGAGCTGAAAGCTCTGGCTCGTAATAGAACTCGTTGGCGCTGCTTTGTCGAGGCTAAGAGTGACATGATATCAATCAATCAATCACAAGACCATATGTATAAAGCAGATACACTTGAGAAGAATTCAAAGTATTGTACTGAGACTGTTCTGAAAATATGGTCAATTAAGTTTATGCTTCACTGACCATCATCTTCCCTCAGCAACTCAGCTCACTAAATGTGTAATAACAACAGAGCACTTCTTTATGAGGGCTTTCAAAAGAAATAAGTATGAAAGCCACTTTCCAACATAAACTTCTAGTTTATTACTTAGATCATTGATATCAGTGAGCAAATTTGAAACAAGTGCTACTTAAAATCTGTCTGTGTGTGTGTGCAAATGCACATGCCTGTCTCTGTAGATGTGCATGTGTCTCTCTCTCAGCATGTGCATGTGTGCATGCAATTCCAGAAATTGTAAAATCACTGTACTACTCCCATTATTTAATTTCATGTGTACTAACATGGTTTATAAAAAAACAAATGGTTTTCAGTATTCAAGACTCTCTCAGAAGTATGGAACTACAAGACCATTTTCAGTTACTCATACACACTATTAATATACAATTTCCACAAAATGTTAACAGCATAACAGCATTCACAGCCTTACAGGCATATGGCTTACCTGTGCAGTACCTGATAATGCAGCTACTTTGCTAAAATCAACACCCGCTATTTTAAGACGATCTAACAAGATGTCGAGAGCTTTAACCAACATCAGGACTGGTACTGTAACAGTATGGCCATCCTTATGCACTGTGACGCCTGATGTGGTCCTTCAACACACAATGCCAAAGTAATGAAGACTGCCACACTGCTTTCTGCAAAACTAATTACTCACATATATTTCAGGTTCTTTTCTTCTGGTGTATGTACTTGCAGCAACAAACTGCAATACATTACATCAGTGGTCCCCAACGCGGTGCCCGCGGGTGCCATGGCGCCTGCCAAGGGTCCCCGCGTTGTTACGGAAAGAGGTTATACTGAATAATGAAGGCCGTTCAACCACGAACATTATAAACTTACTGATGCCCATCTCGACGATTGTTTTCGAGCAGCAGCAACATCATCCTACACTCCCAAATTTGAAAAACTGGCCGATGAAATGCGGCGTCACTAACTTCCCACTTAAGTAATAATAACTGTACTTATAAAAGTACGTATTTTTGATTGCGTGGTTTCTTGTATCATTTAACGTCGTGTTGTTTTGCGTATTATTTGGTGTCCATATCTTATTTGTCCAGAGAAAAGAAAATTTGGCTTTGTTAATTGGTTGGTGCCCGCCACGATCTCATAAACTCTCAAATGTGCCCGTAGGCACAAAAAAGGTTGGGGACCACTGCATTACATTGTCATACTTTCCCTCTGTGCTACCACTGGTAACACCTTTTTATTTCATCATGAGTACACTTAACTCTTTAAAGACCAGTAGCAACACCTTTAGGCCTATCATTTATTAACTCTGCATTTTACCCATAAAGGACACTTATGGGTTCTATAGAATTCGCAGTATTATAAGAGATGATTTGCTTGAATGGCATTAACAAATTGGAGAGGAATTGGAAGAAAAATGTCATTTCAAATATCTACCACATCACCATGGTGCAGACACCCTGTGGAATAAATTTGTACTGAGGTATATAACAACAGTTACAATTTTTAAAATATATAAGACAATAAACACAACAGATTGCTCTCTAAAAAATTTAATTTTTAGGCAAATTCTAGAACTACTGAAATTCCAAAAACTCCAATAAAAAATCAGTCATTCCATATTAAAACACCAGAATATAATAAAATATTCAGTAGTGTGATATTTTATCTTTTAATTTTTCTTTCCATGTCTCAGTACAACACAAATTAACCCTTCAAAACTGTGGACTTGTGCCGTTGACTTCTACCAAGTCAGAAGCAGGGAGTACATTGACCAAAATGGCCATCACATCAGACACCAGACTGGAAAACCAGCAAACAGCAAAAGCCAAATTTCTACAGCAGCCAGACATGCCAATGACAAAATACAAGTCAGCCAGCATCCACAGTTCCATCTCTATAATCAGTGATGCAACAGAAATATTTAAACATCCAAATAACAAACTATGAAGACAGTTATACACTAAGAAAAGCCTGGCTTTTTCCCCCCCCCCCCCCAGCTTTTACCGATTCATCGATCTCAATGGAGCAAATTCGTGTTAACAAAATATACGTAATTGCAAAGATGACTGTATTTATAATTTTTATTCAAAATCAGCGATGTAAGAATTACGATTTAGTATAAGAATCAGTACGAGATACATTGTAAAACGTTATAAATAATAGTATTTTTTTCTCACTTTTTGACTTGCTGGTTTCAAAATCGGCGTTATTCTGAATCGGCGAATTGAACCGGCGCAAATCGAGGGCTACCTGTATTTGCAAAGAACTACAAACTTATCCACACACTGGAAGATGTATTTAGCTACTGTGTGAAGAACTTTACAATAATAAAATTATTTTATGTACCAGCAAATACATAAAAAATAAGAAGAAAAATTTGCTGATTGGCATGCTTCTGCTACAACATTGCCAAACAACATCAATGTTTTATTTCAACTGGAACCGATAAAATCAGAATCCAGTCTGTCAAGTACCACCAAGTACACAGTGGTCAGCATATCAAAAGATGTTCTCTCTGAAACACTGAAGTTGAGAAAAAAATAATGGACGCCTATGTTGGCTCAAAATAGTGGCTTTGAAGAACACAAGTGCTTCAGAATTCGGTATTTCCATTCATATATATCTGGAACATAATTACATAATTGTCCTTGTCATTATTCTCATTAATGAACTTTATTGTAAATAACCAAGAACTCTTTCAAACTAATTCTGCTGTACACAGTGTCAATACAAGGAATAAAAATCAGCTTCATAGACCAGTTGCAAACCTCTCATCCTTTCAGAAGAGCGCATATTATGCACGAATCAAAATTTTTAATAGTCTACCACCAAGTCTCACAAGTCTTGTAAATAAGGAGCAATTTAAGGTAGCATTAAAAAGATACTTAATTACATACTCCTTTTACTGTCAATGAATTTATGTTGTTTACAAATAAGTGATAAATTTTCTTCTGTGTAATGGGTAGATCTATTTGTAGCTTATCATTTCTTTAGGTGAACCCTTTGTTTTGTATTATGTGAAATTTATATAATAGTATGAATTGTACTTTATAATATGTATTGTATTATTATTATTATTATTATGACTTTTCCACATCCTATTGTCATCTGACTGTCATATGAATCCATGGAATGTAAATAAATTATTATTATTATAACGAAAGGAAGAGTAAACAAACATAAACTACACTCAGTGCACAGCTGACAATCACCGACTGCCCTGTGTCTTGACTACGTGTGTCATGTGTGCAGTCTAGTGAACTAATTTCTCAAACACAGCCAATGCATAGCGAGTGCCGAGCATTTTCTTGATAAACCGTTGGAGATCGGGCCCATGTTTATATGAAATTTTTGACTCAAAATTATCCCAAGAGCATGAAGTTAAGCTGCGGACATCCTGTTGTGGAACTGCCTCTATATATGACATAAGCCTCATAATACTCACCTAAATTCTGGTAAATCGGAATCATACTGGACAACAGTTTCTTGGAGAATGTTAAGATTGTTGTTTACTACAACAGCCTTTAACTGAAAATAAATAACATAAACCATTTTGAAGCATATACACAAATGGTACTGAGCACTGTGATGGTCAAGTCTTTTTCCTGGCAGTTATCCTGTTTTCAGATACAACAAAACTACAAATACCCCAAAGTAGCACAAATAAATGTAGCTGTACAGCATACACCACTCACACCTCACATCCTGAAAGTACTTGGTTCAAATATTAGTCTGGGAAAGAACATATTGTGACAATTTGTTTTTTTGCAATTTTCCTCAGTCCTGCCAGAAGTTTCTTTTAAGCTACAAGTTAATTTGCAAACCAGGGTACAAACTGCTCCCCTCTCCTTCCCACACTTCTGACCCTCATACTATTTACCTTTTAAACGGCTGACTCACCTACTCCTGTTGGGACATGAATTTATCTCCATAAAAATTCAAAACTTATTGGTTCTCAAATGATGAATCAGTTTTTCAATTTAGCCAACCCCATCGGCTCCCGAGTTGTGGGAAGTGAATGGTAGCGACCTCAGGACTGGATGAAGTCCGATCGAACTAAGAATGCCAGAGCGGCAGATCGATGTCATGTTTACCATTCCTGTTCGATTGATATGGGCAGATATATCACGTGAATGAAGCAGCTAAGTTGCACGTTAAGCCTCCCCCTTTCGACCTGTCCAAAGAGGTGATACTATTCACAATACCTGCAGTAAATGTGCTGCAAAACTGAGTCAAAGGAGCAAACGACCACGGCCATGTTTCAGCTGATGTGCCACAATTCCCACCTGTTCCCTTTATATTGTGTCATAGTGAAAAAATTAATAATTCAAGCATTGTGCCCACATTACTCAGTGAATCTGCAAAGATCTGGTAAAGTGGAGACTTATGCAGATAATGCAATCATGTGTTTAGGCTTAATAAGAAACTCCAAGAATACACATTTAGGCAGTAATTAAGTGTTGTTAGAGCCATTCCAAATGAAATCACCAAGAGGTTTTTCCTGCATGACTATTTTTTGCATGTAACAGCAGAACCTAAAGTAACTTAAAAAATTGGGGAGTTGTACCTTCCACCCCAATGAGTCAAGAGGTCATCCACCTGTTAAAATTGGCAATTTATGGGTTTCCATTAACACAACTTTACTTATACAAATGCTACTGATATGCAATAGAAGCTCAGGAAACAGTAAAATGCTATCTATCATGGCAGATAGCAGAAGCTGCATAATAACATAAAACTGTCAGAGCTAATGAGGTTGTTTCAAGGTCACTAACACCAACATTTTGGATACATTTTTATACTATAAGGGTTACAAACCACAACATGATTTCTTTTTGTATGATCCTCCCATCATACATATAATGTCTGCATACTTCAATTGTGGTACAATTCCTGTTACATTAAACAAATTATTTTGTAAAAAAAGTGTTCATCATAATTTCAGTTTTCAAGGTGTTCTATGTCAAAAGGAGTAGCTGTGAAGGTGAATTCTTTCCCAGTAATTTCAATCACATGTGTAAGAGCAGTTTTGTGGTTCTGAGTAGTTCCAGTTGTATGACATTGCAAATAGGCCTACTGGCAGACATTAACCAAACTGCGACATGGGTATGGCAACTACTATTTCTCACAAAAAAACAAATGGTGCACTGTTGATATAGCATACCTCAACATATAATTTTTATTATTTATTTTGTCTGTATTAAAATTAATCTGTATAAAGATCGAAAACATAGGCAAACTAAAATTTTAAAAAAAAGCCTTAGGTCCCAGGCCTTCTGGATAAGGGGTCTAGTACTGCATTTAATTTTAGCATATAGCCACATTCAGATTCTGACTCTTCACAGTTCCATCTCATGCATTTTCTTGAACTTATATAGGGCCTCTTATTCAGAAGCAGCAGTTAAGAGAGTAGAATTTGTTAGTGACCGGTTGTCTTACGTAATTTTGGAAGGACGTTGGTGCAACATCATTGTCCTTAATGTTCATGCCCCAACTGAAGACAAAAGCAATGATATCAAGGATAGCTTTTATGAAGAATTGGAATCAGTATTTGATACATTTGGCAAGTATCACATGAAAATTCTGCTAGGAGATTTCAATGCAAAAATTGGGAGGGAGGATATCTTCAAACCCACAATAGGCAGCGAGAGTCTCCATGCACTTAGTAATGATAACGGTCTTAGAGCAGTAACCTTCGCTACGTCAAAAGATTTAATTGTAAAAAGTACAAAATTTCCACACCGTGATGTTCATAAATACACTTGGACTTCCCCAGATGGCAGAACACACAATCAAATAGATCATGTTTTAGTAGAGAAGAGAAGGCAGACAAATGTAATTGATGTGAGATCATTCAGAGGAGCAGATTGCGACACTGATCATCATCTGGTGGTAGCAAAAGTGAGGGAGCGGCTTTCAGTAAGTAGACGAACTAAACAAAATTTTGACACAGAAAGATTTGATTTGAAAAAATTAAGTGACGGAGAGACAAAGCAAAAACATTCCAGTTCAGGGAAATTGTCCTCATGGGAGACAGCGTTTTTGTAAAATTTCCAAAAAAAAATATGTATATGCCATGTGCTGTTCGTAACAACTGTGGAGCTGACAGCTGAAGTTAGTTGTGTCCGGTATGAAGATGTTACCTCAGACTCAGAGGAGAGAGAAGAAAATATTTCCGCTGCTGTTTATCGCATATAGTGACGTGTCCAGACAAGTCTCTTTCCAGAAAATGCCCCCCCCCCCCACCCCCCCCACAC